GAGGCGAGCTTCTGGTGGTTACTGCAAATTGTTTGCTCCCGTACGTTGTGGTCCCACCAGGAGCTCACACCTGCTGCCGGCACCAGAGCTGCCACTCTCACCTGCTTCCGGAGCCTGGCACCAGCCCCGGTTGCTTGACGCTCTCAGCAGGTGCGAGCAGCGGCTGCCGACCCCATCACCCCTCAGGGCTTCTCCACCTCCCCCTGCTCCTAAGGGGTGATCAGGGTCGGCAGCTGCCTCTTGCACCCACTGCCAGCGACGGCCCCACTTGCACCTGCTGCCGGCTTTGGAGCCGCCACTCGCACCCACTGCTGGCGCTGGCCCTGCTTGTACCTGCAGCCACCACTGGAGTTGCTGCTCATATTCACTGCCAGCGCCTGGCGCCAGTCCCGATCACTTGGCGCCATCAGCAGGTAGAAGCGGTGGCTGCCAGCCCTGATCACCCCTGAGGGCTTCTCCACCTCCCTCTGCTCCTGAGGGATGATCAGCCACTCCCAGCCGCTGATGGCGTTGGCCCCAATCACTCTGGGCCTGGGAGCAGCGGTAGCAGGAGCAGGGCTGCTGGCAGACAGGACCAGGGACCACGGCGGGAGGGGCCGGTTGGGGCCCAGAGGATGGGCTGAGACCCGCCCCTGTGCCCACCGCAGCCTCACGGCCCACAATTCCTTTCAAGGTGCAGGAATTCATGCATTGGGCCCCTAGTATTTTAATATTGCTATTTCCCCCTTCTCTGTAATGGATGCTTGTCACCGTCTGCGGGGCGATTGGGCTCCTGGCCTGCTCCCTCAGTGCCTGGGAGCTGGGCGGCAGCCCTGCTGCCCCTGGTTGCTGTCTGCGGGGCAATTGGCGGGGCGATCAGGCCCTGCTCGCACCTGCCTTGGCATGGTGCCGCCTGCTCACCTGCTCCATCATCCCGCTACGGTCCCGCTCTCTTCAGGGCCCATCGGGGCCAGCAGTGCCTCCACTGCCGCCTGCTGCCAGCGCTGCGTTGCTGATGTCCGCCATGTTCCATGCTGCCCCCTGATGGTTAGTGCATTCATAGCGAGCAGTCGAACTCCGGGTCGAGGGGACAATTTGCATATTAGGCTTTTATTATATAGGATAGTTTTAGACTTTCAGAAGTTACAAAGATAGTAGAGAATTCCCATGCACCCCACACTGTCTTCCCCCGTGATTAATGTCTTACATTAGTATGGTACATTTGTTAGTTGATGAACCAATATTGGTTCCGTGTTAGTACCTGGAACCATACTTTATTGGGATTTCCTTAGTGTTTCCTTGATGTCCTTTTTCTGTCCCAGGATCCCATCCACAATTCACATTACATGTGGCTGTCATGTCTCATCAGGCAACGCTTGGCTGTGACAGTTCCTTACAATCTCCCTTGTTTTTGATGACTCAGCAGTTTTGAGGAGTATGAGTCAGGGTTTTTGTAAAATGTTCCTCAGTTGGGACCTGATGCTTTCTGATTATTAGACTGAGGGTTTGGGGAGGGAGACCTCAGAGGGCAGTGATGCCCTTCTCATCACCCCTCGGGCAGGTGCTGTTGTCGTGGGGCAGTCACGGTCAGTGTAGGCTGGCACCACAGTGTTTGTCGGGTCTCCTCACCCCACCCACTCAAGTTCACATCTAAAGTTCATCTTTCAGCTTTAGAACAGTTCAGCTATGATCCTACTACCCAGAGCTACATGTTGTTATTGTCCAGAATTTTAGTTTTGTTCTTTTTCAAAACTCCTTAAATTGGACATGTGTTTTTAAAAAAATAAATATTTTTTATTGATTTCAGGGAGGAAGGGAAGGGAGAGAGAGAGATAGAAACATCAATGATGAAAGAGAATTATTGATTGGCTGCCTCCTGCACGCCCCACACTGAGGATCGAGCCGCAACCTGGGCATGTGCCATGCCTGGGATTCAAATCGTGACCTCCTGGTTCATAGGTCAACACCCAACCACTGCGCCCCACTGGCCGGGCTGGACGTGATTTTATTTTTTATAGGTAGTGCTTACGAAATCTTGTTTACTTACTTTCCTTTTTCGAGTATCAACCTTCCTTTCGGGATGTTTTTCCTGAGCATGTTCTTTAGTGCACGTAAAGTCTCCGTAAGTGTCCATGTGAAATGTCCCATGTTGCCCATGTTTCTGGACGTTTTGCAGGGTACACACTAAGATTTCCTCTCAGTCGATAAAGATAGTATTCCGCTATCTCTGGCTTCTATTGCTGGTGGTTTGTCATTTATTTGGAGGTGATATTTTTCTCTCTGGCTTAAAAAATTTATATCAACGTTTACTCTAAAGACCTTTAATATGTATATCAATCATATATATATATGATTGCATGGGAGTTCCAGTTCCCCCACAGTATCGCTACACCTTGGTGTTGTCAGACATTTTTTATATTAATTTGCAATCCAAATGAAAATTTTAAATAATTTTCAACTACAGTTCACGTACACTATTATATTACTTTTGGGTATATATACAACCTTTATATAATTTACAAAGTGATCACCCCAATAAGTCTAGTACCCACCTGACACCATCTATAATAATAAAAGGGTAATATGCTCCAGACATCCTTCCGGACAAAGCCAGGGCCGGAGCAAAGCCACCTGGGTCCCGGGTGCCTGCCGGTGGCCAGGAGCCAAGCCCGGGCCCTGGATGCCAGAGGAAAGCTGATGCCCACAGCTGGGGGAAGGAAGGCCTACTCTTGTAGGAATTTCCGTGCATCGGGCCTCTAGTGGTTATTCTAATATGATTGACTACATTCCCTGTGTGGTGCTTTACCTCCTGTGACTGTTTTATAACTGGCAGTTTGTACTTCGTAATCTCGTCCCATTTTTCATACTCCCAGACCCTCTTCCATGTTGCAACCATCAAAATGGTCTCTGTATCTATGAGTTTGTTTCTTTTTTTTAAAATATATTTTATTAATTTTTTACAGAGAGGAAGGGAGAGGGATAGAGAGTTAGAAACATCGATGAGAGAGAAGCATCAATAGCTGCCTCCTGCACACTCCCTACTGGGGATGTGCCTGCAACCAAGGTACATGCCCTTGACTGGAATCAAACCTGGGACCCTTCAGTCCCCAGCCCGACGCTCTATCCAGTGAGCCAAATCGGCTAGGGCTAGGGCTTTATTTTCTTCTGTAGATGCCACATATGAGCACAATCATTTAGTATTTCTCTTTGTCTTATTTCATTTAGCATAATACACCCTGGGTCTATTTCTGTTGTTACAAATGGCAAGATTTCCTTCTTTCTTATGGCACCTGTAAACCTGTGGGCCTATTGTTTTGTATCACAGATTTTTAAGAATTTGAATGTACTTCAGAAGTTTCCTTTCAAGTTAAATCTTTTTAATAAGTTATTCTGTAACACTAGATTGCCCAAGGAAGTCATTTTGACTGCTTTTTAATTTCAATTAGAAAAACAATGATGTATGTAATGACAGAATTTCTTAGAATTTTGTGACTTTTTATACAACATATAAATGCGTTTATTAATAATTGTAGTTACCTCCCTCTCCTTCATTTCCGGTATATATATATGTGTTATACCTATATTGCCCAAAAGCAGTCATTTTGACTGCCTGGGGGGGGGGGAATTTTAAATAATCAAATGACTCTTATTATTGAATTGAGTAAATTTCTTATATGACCAGTTCGGCTCTGTATTGAAATAACAGTTTTCATTTTTTTTCGATTACCGTCACATGATAACATAAAAGTACACGATAA